TCTTTTTGTTGTAGAGTATTCTGTAGATTTTAGAGGTTAGACCCTTGTTGGATATGTTGTAACCAAAAAATTTTTCCCAGTCTGTAGGTTCTCCTTTTACTCTTTTGGTGAAGTCTTTTGATGAGCCTAAGTGTTTAATTCTTAGAAGCTCCCCGTTATCTAGTTTATCTCTTGGTGTTTGTGCATTGTTATTTATGGTTTGTATTCTATTTATGCCATGTATTAGAGCCCCTAGGCTTGTCCTCATTTTTTCTTCCATTATCTTTATTGTTTTAGGTTTTATATTTAGGTCTTTGATCCATTTTGAGTTAGTTTTTGTGTATGGTGTGAGATATAGGTCCTGCTTCATTTTTTTTACAGGTGTTTATTATCAGTTTTAATCAACTATATGTGATATAGTTGTAAATTGCTTAAATGTAATGTTTCTTAGATTATATGAATACTAATAGCAAAATTATTTTATAAACTCTTTTTACATTGAAATACAACATTATTAGTTACAGCATTGTTAGTAACTGAATGGAAGCTTTTTTTAAAAATTTTTTTCCTTTCCTTTAATTACTGCTTCATTCCCAAAACAGTTATTGATACAGGTTCACAAATACTAATTACCATAGTCTGGCTGCCAAAACACCAGCAGCAACGAAAACAAAAGCACATTCTTGTAGCAGGTGCAGAGGAAACCACGTGATTCGTGTCATTATAATTGGGTAATAATGACAGCTCTGACCAGAGTGCATTAAAAAAAACCCATTGCTGTCAAGTCAATTCCGACTCATAGCAACCCTATAGGACAGAGCAGAACTGCCCCATAGGGTTTCCAAGGAGGGGCTAGTGGATTCAAACTGCTGACTTTTCGGTTAGCAGCTGAGCTCCTAACCACCATGCCACAAGGGCTCATAAAGTAAATTCATAAAGTAAATTAGCATAGAGTTTTAGCCTTTTAGGTATATTGATACATGTAAGCTGGGCTTATGAAAAAATGTTTTGGTTTTTTCAGGGATAATTTTTCTAAAAAACAATAAATTTCTGCTGAAACACTGTACAAAAATTTTATAGACAGTCATTTTGGTGTCACCCCCTCTGACAGTGTCATTTGGTGCAGTCTGCGACCTCCTAGTGAGCCACTTAGTTACATTCCCTTTTGACAGTTTTGACACAAATTGTTTATTGACATTAGTTACATTTATCACTGTGTGTCAACATTCTCTGTAATTGTGTTCTGGTTGTTTTGTTTCCAGTGCTCTAGTTTCCCTACTCCCTTATCGTCTCATCTTTGCTTTTGAGTAATTGTTGACCCTTTGGTCTCATACAGATGGTTTTTAAATAGAGCATCTTTCTTATGGTTAATGTCCTTTCATTTGTGTGCCGCTCTGCTATTTCACTAAAAGCTGATCTCGGTGGGGTAGGCTTGGTTCTAGGTTTAAAGAATGTGTCAGGGCAATAATTTCATGGAGTCCTCTGTTCTCTGCTGTTTCAGTTTGCTTTTTTATTTTAAGAATTTGAGTTCTGCTCCACATTTTTCTCCCATTCTGTCCGGGACTATCTATCGTCACCCTAGGCAGAATGGTCAGTGGTGGTAGCAGGGCACCATCTAGTTCTTCTGGTCTCAGAGTAGATGAGGTTGAGGCTCGTGTAGACTTGTTTTTTCTCTGAGCTTTTGGTTATCTTCTTACTCTTTTGTGGAGGCTGTTTTGTGGTGCAGGTGCCTTATTTCCCCTGTGTGATGGGTCAGCAGGTGTGAACCTCATGGATTTGTCTTGGCATGCAGCCATACTGAGAAACCACAACCAGCACTCTCATCCCTGAACAACATTCTGGATCAACATTCTGGAAGCTCTTAGAAACTTCTATTTTAATAATTGGATGCAAGCTGGAAGTGAAGTTCAGAAAGTTTCCTCTGGTTTAGCTGGTGTCCATGAGCCACCTTCATGTGTCAGATATTGTAGCAGGAGGGCTGGGGCTAGGATGCAGTGGGAAGGCTGGGTGTGGGCTGGGGACTCCCCAGGGACAGACAGACAGACAGGGTCCCTGCCCACATTCCACCCTTACAGACAAGCATGGGAGTGCCAGCCCAGCAGTCTTGGGACCCAGGAGCCTGCTATGCCCTGCCCATCCTAGGCACCTCCACCCCCTGAACCCTGGGATTCTAGTACCCTGTGAGTTGTGTGTGATGATCCAGAATGCCTGGCCCAAACCTTGCCTTTACCCTGGGCCTGTACCGACTAAGCTCAGCTCAGGGGTTTGTTACTAGCTGAAACGTTATCAGCATAGTTGTTTTTCTAATCATTGCAAAACTTACGGAAGAGTTACCAGAGGAGTACAGAGGACTCCTGTGTGTTCTTCACCCAGATACACCAGCTGTAATGTTTTGCCACATGTGAGGTAAAGAATTTAACTTTACCCAAAGAATTTGGTCTCTGTAAAAATGTCTTGGGGGTGGCATCTGACCTCCTTTCACTTTAGGAGGGGGAAGGAGAATCAAGATCAACAGCCTAAGGCTGATTCCTGTAAGGCAGCAGTCAGACATGGCATCTGTCTCTGCCATCTTTACCAATTCTGACACCAACCGTCTGTCCCATGGCACTCTACTTCTCTGCTGGGTTTGATAATTCATTGCAGTGGCCACACAGAATTCACAGACTATACTCACGATTATGGGGTTTATTAGGGAAGTAACAGATTATATATAATTCAGGCTCAGGAACACTCAGGATTCATTTCTTCCATCAGGACAGCCTCTTCCCAGCTGTGCTTGTAGGCACACCTCTCCCTGGCCCTCGCCTCTCCCCAAAGGCACTCAGCTTTGTCTCTACGTGGGCTGGGAAGCCCACTGCGCCGTCTCCTGCTGCCAGGTCTCTGCTGTAAGGTTTTTCCTGCTGGGTTTCCTGCCACTGCTTCTCAGTCTTCAGGGTTACCGCTCTCTCTCTTATCTCCTGGGTCCGGGAGCTTCTCAGCGCAGGGATCCCCAGTCTAAAGGACATGCTGGCTCCTGGCTATTCTTCCTTGGTGGTGGTGGACTCTTCTCTTTCTCGCCTCTGGGGTTGCTCATTTCAAGCCCAGTGGGATGGGAAAACCAAACAATCCCTTCAGTGGGATACAATTACCATATCTGCACAGTCCTGCCCAGTCACCTGGGTGGAAGTTATAAGACCACGGCTAGAAAGGCCACACAAAAGTGATCCATCACACTGCGCTGTCCTTGGTTCCTGAGCAAGAACTCTAAACTGTTAGAATTTCCTGAGTTATTTAGGTATCTTTGTTATCTATGGAGTCCCTGGGTAGTGCAAACGGTGAACACACTTGGCTAATCATTGAAAGGTTGGTGGCTTGAGTCCACCCAGAGACACTTCAGAAGAAAGGCCTGGCTATGTACTTCTGAAAAATCAGCCATTGAGAACCCTGTGAAGCATAGTTGTTCTCTGACACGCATAGGGTTGTCTTTTTTGACTTAGAGTCGACCTGACAGCAGCTGGTGATGGTGGTGTGCTGACAGTGCCTGAAGCAGGGCCTTTGTTTGGGGGAGGTGCTCAGTGGTGATGGTCAAAGGAGGGAGAGAAGGGAAAGAACGAAGAGCTCTGGGTCTAATCAGGTATGATGAAGACCTGTCACTGGGGAGGCGGCGACTTGTCCAGGATGATAAGCGCAGTGGGGTGAGGTGAAGCCTTCTCTGACTGTGCACTCTCCTCACAACCCCAAAGCCCTCCGAACACCCCTGAGGGGCAGGGGGCAGAAGAGAAGAGGTGCCAAGGGTGGCTGGTTTACCCATCTGGGGTTGTCATCTGCAGAAATATACCATTCAATATAAATGCAAATGTGTGTGGAAATAAAACTTAGGTTCAACACAGAACAAATATGAGCATCCACGAGAGCCTTGTGCTTCCAGCTCTCCCTCAGCTGTGGTGGGAGACCCCACCTGCCCATACCCTACCCAGGCCTGTTTTTGCTGGTCCAGAATGAGGGCTGGCTTCCCCTGTGACCACCTCTAAATGTGGACATGGGCCCCAGAGGTGAAGGTCGTGGCTGTGCATGGCCACCTGTAGTGGAGTCAGAGCAGGAGGCTAAGGGAAAAGCACCTCTGGTGTTGTGAGCTGCCATCAAGTCAACCCTGACCCATGGCAACCCCACGCACAATGGAACAGAACGCTACCTGGTCCTGCGCCATCCCCACGATCACTTGCGACCAAACCATTGTGATCCATAGGGTTTTCGTTGGCTAGTTTTTGGAAGTAGAACTCCAGGCCTTTCTTCATAGTTTTTCTTAGTCTGGAAGCTCCGCTGAAACCTACTCAGCATCATAGCAAAACACAAGCCTCTACTGACAGATGGGTGGTGGCTGCACCTGAGATACATTGGCCAGGAATTGAACCAAGTCTCCCATATAAGGGGCGAGAAGTCCACCACCAAACCACCACTGTCCCCACCTCAATAATCCCTTTGGCCAAAAAAAGGACAAACAAAAGTGCTGCTTGTCTTGCAGCAGTTGGCCAGCGGGTCTCCCCCTGCCAGAGGTACCACGTCCCACCAGGGCCTCCTCGCAAGGGCTGGGTTTACATCTAGGGTGGAAGCGCCACTGCAGCCGACTGAGTGTGCATCATGTGTCTGAAAGCAACCGAGGTCTGTGCCCTGGGTGGCTACCTGCAACCAGAATGGGAAGCCTGTCGAGGCTGCCAGTCCCACCTGTGCACGGGCACTGACAACCTTGAACTTTAGCTCTGCTATTGGCACCATTCAGGCTGGTGGGTGGGAGAAGTAAGCAGCTCAGGAAGGGAGCCTTACCTCACCAGGCCGTGAGTCACTCCTCAACCTGTCATTTGGGAGGGAGAGGTATGCTCACTGTGGGGAGGGGATGCAGGTAGGAGGGAGCCGCACGGAAAGGCGCTCTGTGCAGTACCTAGGGTTTCTGCAGGGCTCTGCTTATGGCCTGGAATCCCAGAAAGGTGGGCAGCACCAGCGCCTTCCCACACCTATTCCAACACTCTCTCCTTTCCTCCCTGCAGGCCAGCCAGCTGGGTGTGTACCGGGCCTTTGTGGACAACTATGGCGTTGCCATGGAGACAGCAGAGAAGTGCTGCCAGGCCAATGCTCAGTTTGCAGAAATCTCAGAGGTACCACATGCAGCTGACAGATGCACCTTGGCTCCCACGCGCCCCTCCACCCCGGGACGGGCTGGGGGCTGATGGGTGGGCGGAATGAGCCTGGGAAAGCAAGATGCACAGAATCGAGGTCAGATTGTTTCCAGACTCCACTGGGTTTGCTCTGTCAGCTCCGTGCAGGGAATGCTGCTGTGACCAGACAGAAGGAGTAGCTGTGGAGCCCTTGCAGTTCCAGGCTAGGCGGCCTCCCTGGCACTCTTGTGCGCTCCTATGCCAGTGAACAGCATCCGCTGTTCTGCCCTCCTCTGTGCATAGGACATGGCCCCCGACGCCTTGTCAGCAGCTATACGCACTGTGAGAGTTCTGGCAGCTGACTCCTCCTTGTCATGTGGGGTGGGTGGGATGGTGTTTTGCCTTTTCTAGCCTGCCAGTGACTTGAGAGCTGGGCAAGTTGAGTAGCCAGTGCAGAGGAGTGGGGCACCTGGGACTCCGCTCCGTGGATCCCCTGCAGAGGAGGGCTGCAGGCGGGAGCAGGCCTGCGCTAGACCCCAGGCCTCCTGGGTTGCAGTTTCCCTGCCTGCGTTTAGCAAAGCTGCTCCTCGCCCCCTCAAAAAATCAAACCCATTGCCATCGAGTTGATTTCGGCTCACAGTGACCCCTGTGTTACTGAGTAGAGGTGCTCCATAGCGTTTCCTTGGCTATGATCTTAACAGGAGCAGATTGCCAGACTTTTCACCTATGGTACCACTGGGTGAGTTTGAACCACCAACCTTTAGGTTAGTTGTCGAGTACAAACCGTTTGTCCCACTCAAGGACCTCTACCAGTTTCTGTCAAGTCGATTATGACTCATGGTGACTCCATGTGTGTTAGAGTAAAATGGTGCTTCATACGGTTTTCCGTGGCTGGTTTTTCAGAAGCAGCTCGCCAGGCCTCTCTTCCCAGGCACTCTTGGTTAGACTTGAACCTCCAGCCTTTCTGTTAGCAGCCAAGTGCGTTCACCCTTTGAACCACCCAGGATCTCCATTAGTACGGCCCCAGGAGGACTGAAACCCCAAACCATGGAATGTTGGCATGGGAGACCTCAAGAGAACATAAGGCCCATCCCCTCAGTCCTCAGATACTGAGAGGATGAGCGGGCTGCCCCGGGGCTCATGGCCAAGCGAGGGTCAGACCCGGACAGCACCCCCAGCCTCCAGATTGGGGTCCTCCCACCCTTCCCGATCCTGTTTCTACCCAGTGGCATTTGTCTGACATTTTTCTCTTTTGGGGCCTGAAAACACTTTGCCTTTTGGCAGCTCCAACACCCTGGAGTCCAGACTTGCCTTCCCCTCCAAACAAGGGTTCTAGGTAGAAAGAGAGACAGAAACTAGAAGTACGTAGTGAGTCAGCTCACTCTTTCTTGGACACAGCCCTCGACCGCCAGACCTGGGCTTTATTCTGGCAGGTCTGTGCCACTTTATAATTTATCATGGGAGGCAGTCATGTGGGCCTGGCACCGACATCTCTCGAAGTGACTATGTGAGGTGAATGTGTGTGCCACACCGGTATCCAGAGCTATGGGGTGCCCTCTGCCCATTCCCCATAGCCACTGCAACAGTCAACCCATCCCTTCTTTAGCACGCTGAATTAGCAGACTGCTCAGCCCCTGACAGCTGAGGTGTTGGTATGAAATTCCAAGTGACCATGACAAATGAGAAATGTAATCCTTTAAGAGCAGGCTTCAGTTCAGTGGGGCCAAGTTCAAGTTCACCTGGATGGCTTTCTATAGAGGAGGGAGGAAACAGTGGTGGGGGTGCCCCCTGGGGGTAATATGGTCCCCTAGCCTGTGTTCATGTGGGAATCTGGCCCAATGCTGGAATGTGCTGGAATGTGCTGGAATTCATGGCGTTGGAGAGACATGGAACCGGAAGCCAGCCTCCGTGAAGAATGTGGTGCTTGTATTAGGGATGGCATCCACTTTGGTTCTGCACATTTCAAAAGACACCCAGAGAAACTGGAGGAGTCTCAAAGAGAGCAAAACGAAGCTAAAGGAAAGGAACCACAGGCAGCATAGAGGTGCTGGGGGTGGCGGGGCGAGTGCTGGGTGTGGGGGTTCCTGATGAATGTCTTTAAGTACAGAGAGGGGAGACTCCATGGGTGGTTGTCTTAGTCATCTAGTGCTGCTACAACGGAAATACCGCAAGTGGAGAAATTTATTTCTTCACAGTAAAGTAGGCTGTAAGTCCAAATTCAGGGCATCAGCTCCAAGGGAAGGCTTTCTGTCTCTGTTGGCCTTCTCATCAGTGTTCCTCCGGACCAGGAGCTTCTGCGCACCGGGACCCCGGGTCCAAAGGACACGCTCTGCTCCTGGCACTGCTTTCTTGGTGGTGTGAGGTCCCCCAATTCTGCTTGCTTCCCTCTCCTTTTATCTCTTGTAAGGTGAAAGGTAGTGCAGGCCACACCCTAGGGAAACTCCCTTTACATTGGATCAGAGATGTGACCTGGGTAAGGGTGGTGTTACAATCCCACCCTAATCCTCTTTGACGTAAAATTACAATCACAAAATGGAGGCCAACCACACAATTCTGGGAATCGTGGCCCAGCCAAATTGATACACACATTTTTTGGGGGACATAATTCAAACCATGGTGGTCCAGACAGTTAATATGCTCAGCTGCTTACCAGAAGGTTGGAAGTTCTAGTCCACCTAGAAATACCTCAGTCTACTTCTGAAAAATCAGCTGTTGAAAACCTGATGGAGTACAGTTCTACTCTGATACACATGGGAGCACCATGAATTGGGCTCAACTCCACAGCAACCAGTTACTGGTTATAGTGCGGGGGGAGTAGTGGTTCTTATCTACTCTGGGGACCAATCCCAAGAAATGCTGAGACCGTGTCCCACTGACCAGAGTCGCCCAAGTATGTAGCTCTACAGACGATGTATCAGTTTTCTGTGGCTGCTGTAACAAAGTATCCCCAACTCAGTGTCTTAAAACAACTGTCTTTCAGTTCTGGAGGCCAAAAGTCCAAAATCAAGGTATCAGCAGGGCCATGCCCCCTCTAAAGGCTCTAGGGGAGGATGCTTCCCTGCGTCTTCCAGTTTCTGGTATTGCTAGCAGTCCTTGGCTTGTAGACACAGTACAGTCCCTGCCACACTCTTCACATGGTCTTCTCCCCTGTGTGTCTGTGTGTCCAAACTCCCTTCCAGTCATATTGAAATTAAGGCCCACTCTAATTCATTATGACCTCATCTTAACTTGACTACATCTGCAAAGACCGTATTTCCAAATAATGTCATATTCACAGATACAAGGAGGGTGTCGCGGGCATTGTTAAGACTTCAACATATCTTTTTAGGTGACACTAATCAATCCAGTAGGGGGGCAGTGGTGGTTCAGTGATATAATTCTCTCCTTCCTTTGGGAGACCTAGGAAGAAAGACCTGGCAATCTACTTCTAAAAGTCAGCCAATAAAAATCCTGTGGATCACAATGGTCCAATCCCATTGTGCATAGGGTTGCCGTGAGTCAGGGCCGACTTGGCGACAGCTAACAACATTCAAGCCAGTGCAGGTGATAACAAGAGTTTCACGAAAAGGTCTTCTGGAGTCAAATGAGTTTGGGGAATGTGGGACTAAACAACATTCCGACGTTTCCTGGGATAGGACTCGGGCACGTGGGGTGCGGGCTGTGTTCCCGCTCACATGACACAGCACCTGTGTGCAGGGTCTGTGTAGTGCACAGCCCCCACACCCTTTGGGCCCCGCTGAGTCAGACACCATGAAGAATAATCACTGTTCAGAGTGTTCTGCACCAAGGAGAGGAGAGGGATCAGTGCATTAGAGGTCGGCCCCAGTGAATTTGAAAAGCACTGCCTTGTAGTCTTGACAGTCTCCTGCAGCTCAGGGCCACCTCATCAATCTCAGAGCCCTGTGTCTCTGTGGGTTTTATGCTTCTGTTCAGAAGCCCACGTGCTAGGATCAATCACAGTGGCTTTCCAGAAATGATTGCACACACTTGGGGTCCTTTATCCTCGGTTTTCTTTGTACTTCGGACCAAATCTGTGATGCCTTTTACTCAGTTGTGTTGGAAAATTACCCATCAAAAAGCTCTGCTCTCGTCCTGGGAATTTTGGTGCCCAATTTTTCAGCAAGTTCGTTTGCAAGGTGGGGAGGGTGGAGGTAGAACCCAATGTTGTCTCGGGTGCAGGCCTTGCCTGGCTGCCTCCACAGGTGAGTGCTCTTATGAGCCAGCAGTCTCTGCATCTGTGTAAGCAGGTAAGAGATTTTGGAGGGGGCTGCTGTTTGCTTCTCCCTGGTGGCACAGATAATTTGTGCTTAAAACTTGCAAAAGGTTGGTGCTTTGAACCCTCCCGGTGGTGCTGCAGTAGAAAGGCCTGGTGAAATCCTACTCTGCAATACATGGGATCTCCAGGAGTTGGGATCGACTCAATGGCAATGGGTTGGGTTTCCTGTTTGCCTGCATTTGCAGGATTCTGTGTTAGTGGGTCTCATCTAGGGGCAGTTTTGCTCCCACGGGACACTTGGCAATGCCTGGAGATTGTTTGGGTTGTCACAGCTGGTTGGAGAGGGAGAGGTGGGTCAAGGCCAGGGATACTGCTAAACATCCTACAGTGTACAGGACAGCCTCCACAGCCAAGAATTCCAGCCTAAAATGTGAGCAGGGCCAAAGTGGTGAACCCTACTTTGCAAGAACCTCAGCTTGCCCGGGGATCGCCCCACTCGTCCTGCTTTTTCCTCTGTTGCCCAGAATGCAGTGCTGAGGTTTGCCACATCTGGGGTTCTTTGCAGTAAATGGTGAGGTTTGTGCTAAGGGTTCCTGAGCTTTCTACCACATCAAAGCTGCTTCTGTCATACCAAGTGCAAAATGTGCTTTTTCTTTCTGCAGAACCTGAGAGCCAGAAGCAACAAGGACTCCAAGGATCAGACAACCAAGAACTCTCTGGAAAGTGAGTTCCCCATTCTGAGGACTCTGTGTGCCCTGGTGGAGGGAGCAGAAGGGGCATCCAGCTGGGCCACCCCCTGGGGACGGTGAGAGAGCAGCTCTGGGCATGGCGGGGGCAGGAGGGCACAGCCAGGACCTGTCTGCCACCAGCAGAAGTGACCAGGGAGAATGGTAGGAGTTGACGAGTGCCCATGACCAGGCACTGTGCTGGGCTTTTAAAATGTTATTGTGTCATCCCCAACAGCCCTGAAGGAGGGTGTTACTTTCCCTTCTTTCAGATGACAGAATGGGTTTAGAACCTGAAGTAACCACATAGACCCCAGGTTGTGGGTGGCCAGCCGGACAGGGGTTGAGTCCAGAGTTGCCAGGCTCCTGGGCCCATGTGTTAATCTCCTCACCTTGGCTTCCAGATGATAAATCATCTCATACTTTGAGTGGTTAGGATAGCGTGAATGATGATGCTCACTCCCAGAGGATAACAGACGTGGTTCCGATCCCAGCTTTACTATGTGCCAAGCCTCAGTTTCCCCATCTTTGAAATGGACATAGCAACCATGCCCTCTCTAGCTGTGAGGGAGGTGCTAGAATGTCTTGGGACACAGCTGTGTCTGTGCCTATGATGGGCTGTGCTCACCAGGATCGAGCTGGCCAGGCTCTCACTGCACTAGGAGGCTGCTCTGGCCAAGGATGGAGTTTGGGCGTCGGTGAGCAGGTTCCAGAGACCGTCAGCATCTGAGTTGGCTCCTGCCATTCTCAGAATCAGGCCACCCACATGTCCAGGGGTCAAATTTGACAGCAGCAGCTGGCCCGTTCCCAGGGGATCCTCTGGACTACAGATCCAGTCTCCTGCACGGGTTGGGGCCCTCGCCAGCCCATCCCAAGCCCTGGCAAGCTCCACATCCCGAGTTGGGAAGAGTGTAGTGCTGAGTCCTGTTAGCCATTGTCACAGAGTCAGCCACACAGGCTCAGATTCTGCCCAACAGCCCCGGACACTGCATTAAAGACGTGCCCCTCCCCCCAGCCTTCCGACACCCTAGCTTGCCCTTGTCACTGAGCGGAGGGCATGTGGCATGGCTGCAGGTCAGGGCTGCACTGCCTCTGCTCACAACTGCATTTCTCCGCAGCCCTGCTCTACAAGCCGGTGGACCGGGTGACGCGCAGCACGCTCGTCCTGCACGTGAGTCACAGCACCTGAGGGCACAGTGCTGCCCCATGGTCTCTTTCAGCCCGGGGCTGACACTGATGCTTGTCTTCTCTGCCCACCTGTCCGACCTGCTCCCAGCCCTGCACACCTTTATGGAGAATGCAGAAGTGAGAGGCCTCTGCCATCCATGAACTCATGGCTTGAGGCGGGCTGGGGGGCATAGATAGGCTCTCCAGTGTCCCCAGGTATCCCTGCAGGGTGGGCGCAGGCACAGAAGAGCACAACAGGGGGTATCCTGGTCCATGTGGATGGTGGGGATGCATCACAGTGGTCACAGCACGTGAGTCTCCAAGATGGACAGGGTGGGGGGCAGACAGCCAGTGTGACCAGGGAGCCAGTACCTCCCTGCTTGAGGAGAGGAGTAGGGAGGTAGAATCCTCTCCTCCTTTCATGCAGGAGACCCAGGTTTTATTCCTGGCCAATGTACCTCATATGTAGCCACCACACATCTGTCAATGGAGGCTTGTGTGTTGTTATGATGCTGAATGGGTTCAGTGGAGCTTTCAGACTCAGACAGACTAGGAAGAAAGGCCTGGCAATCTACTTCTGAAAATAAGCCAGTGAATACCCTGTGGATCACAAGTTTGATCCTGTTGCACATGGGTCACCATGAGTCGGGGCAGGCCCCACAGCAGCCGACAACAGCAGCAGCAGACCCTTATTTTTGATGGGAGCCCCTCCTGAGCTTATAACAGCGTGGGTGTGTTGGTGCACCATTAGGACCTCATCTAAAGCCCAGGTTCCCTGTCAGCAGTGGCACTGCCATGTGGGGAGCCAGCGATTTGGGATCCTGCCCATGTGTGTCTGCAGTTGCAGCTAACTGTCGATCGGTGCTGCTCTCTCTGACCCAAGTTCTTACGCTCTGGGGTAGGATCTGCTGAAGCACACACCACTCAGCCACCCTGACCACCCGCTGCTGCAGGATGCCCTCCGGATCTCACAGAACTTCCTGTCTAGCATCAACGAGGAGATCACACCCCGCCGGCAGTCCATGACTGTCAAGAAGGGCGAGGTGAGCTGGGGCTGGGGCAGCGTGTGTGCCAAGCCTGCTGGGGGGACCCCAGTGCCCTTGGTCTGAGACCTGGAGGCCCTCTCTGGTTCTCAGGAGACTGTCCTTGAGTGATGCAAATGGCTAATGAGCTTGCCTGCTCACCAAAAATTTGGAGGTTCGAGTCCACCCAGAGGCACCTCGGAAGAAAGGCCTAGTGATCTACTTCCAAAAAATCAGCCATTGGAAACTCCATGGAATGCGCTTCTACTCTGACACACACGAGGGCACAAGGAGTTGGAGTTGATGCCACAGCAACTGCTTTTGTGTTGGTCCTGTGACCGTTCAGTGTAACACTTTGGCGTCCTTGGCCTTTTGTGTGAGGCATTAGGGTGACATTACAGTGGCGAGCCCACTAGTCCATGCCCTTTAGACAGCAACGGTCACTGCAGCCCACTCACTGCCTGTCTTCCATCATGGCAGGTCATGTCCAGGGCTCTCCTCTCCCTCATACCCTCCCCAGGTTTGGGGGCTCCAGCTGAAGAGGCTGGTGAGAAGGAGCATAACATCTTGTCCTCCTGCAAGCCACCTAATTCCTCCTGTATGCTATTCCATTAAACCAGTTGCCATTGAGTTGACTCCAACTCACGGCAACCTTGTGTGTCAGGGTAGAACTGTGCTCCATAGGAGTTTCAGTGGCTGATTTTTCAGAAGTAGATTGCCAAGCCTGTTTTCTGAGGCACCTCTGGGTGGGCTCGAACCTCCAACCTTTTGATTAGCAGCTTGGCATTTTCCCTATTTGTGCCACCCAGGGACGTACTGTCCATTAGTAAACAGTTAGCTCCAACTCTCTTGCCTCAGGAGGGGCAAAGGGCTTTAAAGGGAGAAGAAAGGGCAGAGTTTGCTGCTAGTGTCGTGAGGTGAGAATGGTTGGGGGGCCTAGCCCAGGGACGTGGTTGGCATGGATGTGGTTATCCTCCTCTTTCCCCTCTTCCCTCCCTGGTGGACAGCCCCACCCTGTCACACTTGGCCACTTCTCATGTCCTCAGGGCACTAATAGTTCAGAAGGCACAGGGGTGGGGCCGGGACTCAGTTGAGCTGGCATCCTGTGCTGTCGGGGCTCCTGGGGCAGCCCACCTCGTCTGACCCTCACCAGGCAGGCGTAGCCATGTGGCTGGCAGGTGACACCCAGTGGGCACGGGCAGCATGCATGCCAAGACCAGAGGTCAGGGGAGACCATGGGCAGTGTGTGGTGGGGGAGCTGCCTTCGGTCTCCGGGTCTCGTGCAGGGGTGAGGCCACCTGGTGGGCGGGACACGGGGTGGCAGTGCCTATGAGAGCTACATCCTCCTCTGCCCTCTGGTTCATGTTGTGAGCAGGTGCCAGGTGCTCTGCACCCAGTACCATGACCCAGGCCCTGTCCTCAGGATAGATGGGGGCTGGCTACCTAGCACGTGGTGTTTCTTCCCTCCTGTCTGGGTGCTGAGCTGGAAGCTCTCACAAGCCCATAACGTAATTGGGCTTGGCCACAAGTCAGGGGCTTGGTCCGGTCTCTCCTGGTGGGCTTAGCCCAGGGAGGCCGAGGGACCAGAGAAGAGGGAGCTGCCCCTGCCACTCCTCATTCCAAGCTCGTGTCCAATCTTAGCCTTGCCCAGACTTGTCTGGCACCCTGGAGCACGCTGCTTCTCCTCTCAGGACCTTTTGCAGGGGAGGGGAGCCTGGAGCTGAGGACCCCCACCTACCTACTTGGGTGCCTGGCCCTCCAAGGGGCACAGTTCATAGAAAGCACCCTGCCAACCATCAGTCGACTGCAGTTCTGTCCTTGGTGCTGGTTCCCTGGCTATCCCTAAGCCTTGGAATCGCACCCATGGAGGGCAGCATTGAGCAGGGCAGGTACTCCACACCTGCTTGTCAGTCACATGGCTAGAATGAGTGTTCCGATGTTGTTTGCTGGAGCAGCAGCCAGTCCTGGCCCTCTCAGAGCCCGATGCCACACAGCGCTGACCCGGTGTCACCACCTCAGCTCAGGGACGTTGAGGGACAGCACTGCTTCATGCCAGTTCCCACTGTTCCCCCACACCCCGGGGCCCCTGCTGTTTCCCTTTGCCCACTACTCTGATGAGGCTCACACCCTGAGAAGCAAATGCAGCTGTTCTTTCTTCTGTTGGCCTTTTTAGGGAGCTGCATCTGCTCCCAGTGTCACTGAGGGCCATTAGGGTCCCTGAGGGATGTGCCTTCTTGCCATTCAGATCACTGGATGTTGCGTCTCAGGGAGCAGAGGGCAGTTGGATGCTGCCTGGGGATGAGTAGCCAGGCTCGTTTCCTTCATCTGCTCTCCCAGCCTCCTTTCACGATGACCACACTGGGGCCTTGGTGTGACTGAGCAGGGAGTGATAGGGCCCGGATTGCCAGTCCAGGTTCCAGCCTCCATTGGGAGGCTGGCATTTCAGGCAGGCAGGGACCCTTAACTGCACCCTTGCCAGCATCTGACCCTCAAGGGCTCGGTGATATTTGCAGAATGAAGGATCACTTGGGCGCCTTGACTGCAGCATGGGAAGAGGGTTACCGACCTCGCAAGGCCTTGCGTCTGACGGTGCACACGTGCTCTGTCAGGGCTCTTCTCCAGTGAACCCTGCTTGCTGCACCAACTGTGCAGACCAGTCCAGGGAGACTAAGGTCACCACCTCTAACACCAGATCGTGCAGTGGATAACAAAGCCCACTGCACATGCCAACTTTATCCTGTGGAAATCCTGCTTTCCCTTCCCTGTTCAGTTTAGACCCCAGCTGCCCACGCAGCCCTTCTCTTTCTCATTCCCAGCAACCAGGGCTGGGTGAGTGGGTACCAGTCGCAAGCTTGGGAGCCCACATAATTCCCTCCACTTCAGACTAGCTGGCCTCAAATGTGGGGTTTTCCTCTACCCCGTCAGGGTACCAGCTGCAAGCCTGGGAGTCCACATGACTCCCTCTACTTCAGCATGGCCAGCTCCTCTGTTCACTGGAGCAACTCACTGAGCTCGCAGGAGACACTGTTCCTTCAATTACAGATTTGCTATAACAAAAAGGATACAAATGAAGAGACGCGCAGGGTGAGGTCCAGAAGAGATCTTGCCGTGGTGCTTCCATGCCCCTCCCGAGAGCAGGTATTCACTCTTGCCAACCCAGAACCTCCCTGTGCCTCTGTGTCTTCTAAGGCCTTTTCCGGCCTCCCCATGTGGCCATGATCAATGACATTAGCCTCCTGAGGCTTAGTCAGTTTCAGGCCCGAGGTGGTCCCTCTTTGTTGGATTAGCCCCCACTCATTGGCCTCAGGTGTTGGAACAGCTTGACAGGCCAAATGGCTTTCTGCAGGTGATTCCACACCTTGAAGCACGCTAAGAAGATGCCTTTGTGCTGGCTGACCAAGGGTGACAGGCAGCTGCCCACACTTGCACCCGTCACCAGAGCCATGCCAGGGCAGACATTGCTAATCACTTGGGCACTCACATCCCCCTGCCCTGGCCATGCCAGGGCAGACATTGCTGATCACCCGGGCACTTGTGCTTCTGGTGGGCTGAGTGGAGCCTCCGCACCTTCCCCAGCCCACCTGGTCTGCATTGCCAGAGGCAGTGGGCAGAACGCCAGATGGGCAAGCCTCACACCCGGCTTTCCATCCTCCTGCACTGCTCCCCAGCTGTACTGACTTGGGCTGCCCCTTTCTCCCCTGAGTGTCCATGCTGTATAACCAAGGGCAGTATTCATGTCCTGCACCCCCTCCACTGGGTTGTTGCAAAGTGAAAATGTGCAACAACGTGGAAGAGTTTCTCTGTCTGTGAAGGCGAGGGGGTGGTCAGGTGGGCACCTGCTCAGCCCAGAGGTGTTGGCATTGAGGTGGTAGAACGCGCTCTGTACACCACTGGCTAGGGTGGAATCTACAGGGTCCTCCAGTCCCCTGGGGAGCAAAAGCTGCAGGCTGCTTCCTTTTAGAATTTTGGCTGTAGAGATCCATGTCCTTTCCTCCTGTGCCTGTCTCTAAATTTGGTATGCGACATTGAACATCGAGTTTCCAAAGAGACGCAGGAGCTGTGCTTCTGTGTTCTCATGGTGACTCTGGGAGGTCAGAATGTCTCCCATTTTACAGGTAAGGGAGCTGAGGCTCAGAGAGGTGACGTGACTTGCCCAAGGCCACGCAGCCACTAAATAGCTCAGCCAGGGTGTGAGCCCAGTGTCCTCTGGCCCCTCTGTGCACCCCCAGGTGTGTCGTGCTCTGAGTCCTCCTTGTGGACCGACAGGACCGTCCACTACTTTCCTCGTCCTCATGTGAGGGGCTCCCTGGAGACTGGTGGAGCCGAGAGGAGGAAGACATGCCCCTCTTGGCTCTGTACATCCCCAAGGCTCGGTCTTGGGTTGAGCCTCATTCCCCTGTGCCTCCTGCTCCGTTTCTAGCTCCCCTGGCAGGTATTTGAGGAGGGGAATGGTATGTGGTCGGCCTGGGCCTTCTGGGAGGCGGCCTATCTGTGGCAGTTAAGCCTGGACTAGTCAGAGCACCGGGAAGCTGTTAGGCAGCAGCACGTCCACCTTGGCTCTCTCATCTCACCGTCCCCTCCGATCGGAATCCATAGCCCTGGGCTATGCTCTTTGAGGCACACTGGCTCTGGGAGGTGCGCCTGGTGACTGGTCACGAATCTCTCGATGCAGCATCCTGGCCTGGCACACCTGGGGCAGAAGCAGCAGGCGCTGCCCAGGAGGACTCCCTCCTCTGCCTCCTGGAGCCTGTCAGTTCCCACTGTGCATCTTGGGATCCTGCAGGCATGTTTTCCTGAACTGGTTAGCTTAATGAACTGTACAGTTAAAAAATAGAGTCCCTGCTGCTGAGTAACTTCCCCCATGGCTGCCTGTCTGCTCCGAGCCTGTACCACGTGTGTGCCTGGCCCTGAGATCTGCAAGCCACCCAGCGTACCCAGCTACCACCCTATCCCAGCCCCCACGGGAGGGAGTCAGCTCAGAGTCGAGTGTGGGGCGCCCTCTGCTGGTGATGGCAAGAAGCTCAGCCCTTTGCATGGAGCTAGGATGTGGGTCTCCCCTGTGTGGCTGCCCCTCCAGAAGGGTCCTTTGGTTCCCGCCTCCTGGGCTAGAAGACCCTCTGCTGTGTCCCTGCCTAGGGGCCATCTGACCTTTCCCTAAGGGCCTCAATGACTGGGACCCCTCTCAGACCTGTTCCCCGATAGCAGTCACCTCCGTGCACACATCCCTCACTTCAAGCCTGGCGCCCAGCAGGGGCTCAGGAAGGCTTGTTCAACAGAGGAGTGCCTGTAGAGCCCCATCTCTCAGTGGGGCAGCGGGATGGAGGGAACACTGGAGAGTCAGTCTGGGGGTTGGATCTGCAGGAATTAATCTCCTCCCTGGAAGAGGGCGTCTCCAGAAGATTGGCTTGTGCCTGCTGAGACTGGAAGGGTCCCCAGCACCAAACCGGGCTAGCCTATCCTCTGACCTGCGTCCCTTTCTTCCCCCTGTGCCGACAGCACCGGCAGCTGCTGAAGGACAGCTTCATGGTGGAGCTGGTGGAGGGGGCCCGCAAGCTACGCCACGTCTTCCTCTTCACTGACCTGCTGCTCTGTGCCAAGCTCAAGAAGCAGGGTGGAGGGTGAGTGACAAGGCAGTGCTCCACCAAGTGCTCCAGGTCCCCTTGGGGAGAAGGTCTCTTTGGGGGCACCAGGTCGATTTTGTATATGGAGGGCTTGAGCCTTGGAGAGGCCAGGACTGGGTGGCAGGATCCTCTTACTAAGCTACTATGCAGTAAGGAGCAGTGTGAATCCAGTCCCCAAGATGTGGATTGGATTGCTCCAGTTCTCCCATTCCTACTTCTCCATCCTCGTCACCAGCTGCCTTGCAGCACTGTCTCTGACCCTAGCCACCCGGAGCTGGGTCAGAGCTCCCAAGTTAAAAGGACACCATCTTTTAGACTACCACATTGGCAGATGCCAGCTGCAAGTTTAGGGGGTCTAAATGATATCCCAACCTTCTGCCCTGCTGGCCTCAGATTCAGGGCTGGTTTCCCACTACCCCTTCAGGATGCCAACCGTAAGCTCAGGGGTCCCCACCACATCCTCACTTCCTGACCTTCTGGCTCCCACTGCCTCTTTGGGTTCAGTAATTCACTGGAACGACTCACAGAACTCACAGAGAGTATACTATACTTGGAACTACAGAGTTACTGTAACCAAAAAGGATACAAAAGAAGAAACGTATAGAGTGAGGTCTGGGAGGGTTCCCAGCACAAGGCTTCTTTGGCCCAAGGGATGCATTACCCTCCCAAGAGCAGGTATCCTTGCCAACCAGGAAGCTCTCTGAGCCTTAAGGTTCAGGGCCTTTATTGGCCTCCCCATGTGGCTATGATAGATGACATCAGCCTCCTGAGGCTAAGTCAGCATCAGGCCCCAGGTGGTCCCTCTTCGTCACCTCCCACTCATTGGCATTAGGAGTGGTCCGGCTCTCAGGAACCAACCAAATGCCAAGTTGCTTTCTGTACCTCAAAGCAATGTTCTGTTTCTACCTGGATACCAGTCTCAAGGTCAGAGGAGTTACTGCCCATCCAAAGATGCTCTGGGTCAGGGTAGGTGCCCAGACCATTGACCCTTTCCCCTTTGTGCAGTGAAGGGGAAACCTCACTATGACCTTACGTACCAGGGGACCGTTGTGCCGTAACCCAGCTGGGAAGAGTAAGTGGCAGGCAGGGGCCACAGGGTCCAGTACAGGCTGGTGGGTGGGTGGGATGTAGCTGCCTTGGCAGATATCTGTAGACATTTACACACTTTGTCTCCCCCAAGTCTGATGACAGCTCCTAAACTATTCTTAGCTGAGGCCTGCAGCCCCTGGAATGACTTCCCCTGGTGGCAGGGCTGGGTCACGTTGGGAACAGAGCGCCAGGCCCTCATCTGTCAAGTGAGGGGTGAGGCTGAGTAGATCTATAGCCTCGCCAACTCTGGGGTCGGCCTTCACCAGGCAGCCTCAGTGTGGTTGTCCTCAGAGGAGCTGAGAGCTGACATCCGTCCATATAGGGCAAGGTGGGCTCAGAGTTTGTCACATGCTTCAGGGCCCTGGGACATGTGCCGAGGTCCTGAGGGTGACTGAGGCCTGGGGTTGCCAGTGTCTGCTGGTGGCCTTATCCTAGCCTGTTGCATTGAGCACATGCAGGGTTTTAGGGCTGGGTAAACTGTGTATAAAGTTCCTGGGTGGTGCAAACGATTTGTGCTTGGCTACTAAACTAACGGTTGGTGGTTTGAACCCACCTAGTGATACTGCAGAAGAAAGACCTGGCAATCTGCTCCCGTAAAGATTACAGCCAAGAAAACCCTATGGAGTAGTTCTACTCTGTAACACACGGGGTCGCCATGGGTTGGAATCAGCTTGATGGCAATGGGTTTGGGTTTTTTTTGTTGTTGTTGTTTTTTCTTAAACAGTGCGTAGCCAGTAACTTCAGGTTTCCAAGATCCTAGAAGCAGAGGTGTTAGCACAGAAAGATGGCCCTCATAACCACGCTCTTCTTCTCCCACCCAGCAAAACCCAGCATTATGACTGCAAGTGGTACATTCCGCTCACGGACCTGAGCTTCCAGACAGTGGATGAGTCGGAAGCAACACCCAACCTCCCCCTGGTGCCGGACGAGGAGCTGGACGCCATGAAGATAAAGATCTCCCAGATCAAGAACGACATCCAGAGGGAGAAGGTACAAGGGTCAGGAGAGGAGTAGGGGCCAGGCTTTGTGGCCGGCGTGGGCAGCAGCCCCTCCACGGCCAGTGAGTGCCCTCCTGGGCACCTGGCTTCACACCTGGTCAACACCTACTGGGTTCTGAGAGCTAGGGCAGCTCTGGGTGTACTGGGGATCTGGTCGCAGCCACAGCTGGCATGGGTGAGGAAGGGAAGGACAGCCAGACCCCAAAGGGCTAGGAACAGTCCAGGAGCACCCGAGACATCCCCTTACGACTTCCTTGATTGGGACACGACCCACCAGGGGAGACCTCAGTGGGTCTCCAGAGAGATTTAAGAAACTGTAGAAATGGTGAGGAGCCCTGGTGGCGCAGTGTTTAAAGTGCTTGGCTGCTAACCAGAAGGTCGGAATTCAAACCCACCAGCCAATTCCCTAAAGATTTACAGCCTTGGAAGCCCTCTGGGGCAGTTCTACTCTGTCCCATAGGGCCGCTATGAGTTGGAATTGACTCGACGGCAACGGGTTTTGTTTTGTTTTGCTTTAGAATTGGTGGGGATTAGCCTGGGCAAGAAGAGGTGCTATGTGGTGGGCACAGATGAGGTGGGTCCCCAGAAGCTTGCGCCTCAATCAGGGACACCTGGCTGAGGTGGGCGCAGCAGGCAGGTGTCTCCCCAGCCACCCTCACCTGCCCAGCATGTCTGGGAAACTGCAGGGGCCCGGCACAGCCAGACGAGGGGCCCGGGAGCCCAGAGTGAACATGAAGTTCTGTTCGTGCTGGCAGATCTGTGACCACCTGTTGTAGGGTGTCCTGAACCAGAGGTGTAGCCCATACTGCATGTCAGGAGCCATCGTCCGTGGCTCAGGGCCTGCTTCCTGCCACCACTGCGTTCATCCACATTGTACCCTTGGCCCTGGTGTTAGGGATGGGCCCACCTGGTGACGGGCAACATGGTCCTCCTCCCAGGATGCGGGACAGGGAGGATCTTCCTGTCCAGGTGCTGGTGACGAGACGAGTACCCAGCCCTCCACTAGGCCCTTGCAGATGCCTGAGGGCTAATGTTGAGATATGCTTGGATCAGAGAGGCAGTTGGGGAGCTCTGGGTCACAGCAGCCCCCTGGACATTGTCTGAGTTCAGAAAAATTGAATGGAGGGAGGTTTGTAAATGTCTTCTCTGACAGTGTGAGCAGACTTATTCCTTCAGGAAAAGTTTTACTGAGAATGCTCAGCAGCTTGTGCCAGGCCTTGAACCCACGTAAAGGCTGTTGCTGTCCTCCATAGAGCAGCCAGCAGTAGTTAGCCGAGGCCCTGTGCTGTGATGGGAGTTGTTGGGTGGTGCAAACAATTAGCACTCTTGGCTACTAACCAGAAGGTTGGCGGTTCAAGTCCACACAGAGGCACCTCAGAGGAAAGGCCTGGAGATCTACTTCTGAAAAATCAGCCATTGGAAACCCCATGGAGCACCTTCTACTCTGACACACATGGGATCACCATGAGCCGGGGTTGACTCAATGGCAGTGGGTTTTGTTTTTTTGCTGTGTTGCGTGGACAGACAGCATTCCTACGCTCTTCGGGCTGAGCGTCTAGGGGAGGGGGAGACTGAGTATGAACAGGCAGCATTGCGCCCTGAATGGAAATCCAACCTGAGTGCCCTCCCTCCCTCTCTCCCTCAGAGAGCAAACAAGGGCAGCAAGGCCATTGAGAGGCTGAAGAAGAAGCTGTCCGAACAGGAGTCACTGCTGCTGCTCATGTCTCCCAACATGGCCTTCAGGGTGCACAACCGCAATGGCAAGGTGAGTGGCCACCCTGCCGGCCCTTCTTGCCAGGCGCATAGCCTGGCCCTGGCTCCTGTCCATCTAGGACTCAGCTGCCCTGGGGCCGAGACCTGCCCTGTGGGTTGTGTGGTGGCCATGGTCCCAGCTCACGACCTGCCTGTGGAACAGCAGTCCTTTTTCTCTTGAGGTCATTCCCACCCTGAGAGGCTTCTCCGGTGCAACACATGCATATGTGTATATGTACACATCCATACATATGTACACTCACGTATGCATACACTTACACATATACATGCATGCAACCACAGACATACATAGACATTCATACACATACATACATACACTCACATATGCAAAACACACACACATATACTCACAAACATACATACTTGTACATACACTCACACATACACACACTTATACATACTCACACCCATACCATGCACACACGCATGTCCCTTTGTCTTGCGCTTCAGTCTGTAGCTCCCAGAGCATCTGAATAGGGAGGAGCCTAGCAGGTTTGTCACCCAGCCCTCAATACAGGGTGCTCTGCATGGACCCTGGGACTTATGGTTCATGAGCCCCTCTCCCCCAAGTTTGGCTTTCAGTGTAATCTCTGGCCTGGACTCTCCCTCCATGGCCATTGTAGTGCCTGTCAGCATGCAGAACATGGCCAGGAGAGGGGCTGGTGAACTTTGCAAGAGCCTTGTCTGGGGTCATAGCAGGTGGTCAGGCAGCCCTGCCCACACCTCTGCTGGTCCTCCCTAGAACCCGCCTCTGGGGACATAATCTTCCCCCTCCCCCAGCATCATGCCCTGACTCAGGCAGGGGGGACTGGTGCAGGGACGTCCTGCTGCAAGTGCAGAGCTGCAGAGAGCGCTGGAAGTGAGCAGGCCTGCTGGGAGCACACCTCGCCACCAGGCACCCACCGGCACCAAGTGTGTCTGTGTATGTGTGTGTCTGTATGTGCGTCTCTGTGTTTTTATGTGTGTCTGTGTGTTTGTGTGTCTGTCTATACATATGTATATGTGAGCTTATGTGTGTATCTGTATGTGTGTGTGTGTATCTGTATGTGTATGTGTATCTGTCTGTGTGTGTACGTATCTGTGTCTGTATGTGTTTGTGTGTGTGTATGTGTGTATATGCATGTCTGTGTATGTATCTGTGTGTGTGTTTATGTATGTCTATATACATGTATCTGTGTATTTGTATGTATGTGTATGCCTTTGTGTACATGTGTCTTATTTGTGTGTGTACCTTTGTGTGTGTATGTGTGTATATGTATGTTTGTGTGTGTATGTGTGTGTATACGTGTGTTTACATATATGTGTATATATGTGTGTGTCTCTATGTATACATGTATATGTGTGTACCTGTGTGTGTGTGCCTGTGTTGTGTATGTCTGTGTATATGTGTGTGCCTGTGTGTGTATCTTTGTGTGTATGTATGTGCGTATATGCGTGTTTATGTGTCTGTGTACATGTGTATATGTGTATAATGTGTGTCCATATGCATGTATATGTGTGTTTTTGTGCGTCTCTGTGTATACATATGTATGTGTGTGTTTGTGTGTGCGTACATGTGTGTCTGTGTGTATGTCTGTGTGTGCCTATGTATATGCCTGTATGTGTGTGCCTGTGTGTGTATGTATGTGTGTGCCTGTGTTGTGTTCTGTGTGTGTATATTTTTTTGTATGTGTGTGCCTGTGTGTCTGTGTATGTCTATGTGTATGTGTGTACCTGTGTGTGTGCAGGAGCACACACCAGGGGCGTGCACATGGTCAGTGACAAGGACGCGCTTGTTCCTGCAGCCAGGCAGAGGTAACGAGTCTGCTGTCCTCTTGCTCCCCCCACCACCCCCCCAGAGCTACACATTCCTCATCTCATCTGACTACGAGCGTGCCGAGTGGAGGGAGAACATCCGGGAGCAGCAGAAGAAATGTGAGCGCCAGCAGAGAGACCTGCCCTTGGAATGTCCTCAGCACCTGGGCTCTACAGCTGGGCATTTTTTTATGAGGGAGTGGGCAGTGGCTCCCTTCTGTTCAAGTGGAATCTAATGTGGAGCCCTAACTTCGAGAACAAGCCAGACAGGAACTGTCCTGACAGCTCCCCCGACCGTGGGCTGCCCCCCACCCCCAACCCCAGGCCTGCACAAACTCCCCTTCTGTCCTGGGCCTCCCCTCCACTGTATACTCCCCTCATCACCCTTTGGACCTCTCCTGTGACCCCCCCTCAGGACTTCCCTGTGTGTCCCCTGCCTGAGTCCTGGGCCTACCCCACCCACAACTCACCTCTTTCCACTGACTCTGTACCCCACTATCTTCCCAGGACAGGATGCTTACTCCCCCCTGGACAGGCCCTGCTCTCTATTGCAAGTTCTCTCTTCCTGGGCTCAGAGTCACCTCCCTGGTCCTGTGAAGCTGCTCAGCCTGGGTCCACAGGGGGTGTCTGGGATGTGGGAGCAGACCTTTCCCAGATCTGTGGGCAGCATCTGAGGGTGCTAAGCCTGCTCAGCCCTGGTCCATGGGGTGGTGTCCAAGCATATAGAGCCTGCCCAGCCCCGGTTCGTGGGGCAGCGTCCAAGGGTATGGAGCCTGCCCAGCCCTAGTCCGTGGGGCAGCGTCTGGGGCATGGGGGCAGACCCTACTTGGGTTCTCAGGGCAGCAGCTGCTTCTGGCCCTGCACATCCATGCTGAGATGGAGACCACGTGAACTCTGTCCCACCATTCATCTCACTGGGCAGCCAGGCTGAACACGGTGTACCAGGTGGCCTGGTCCCCCACAACAGCAGCCATCTCGGCCTATCGAAGTGCATTTTTGGTTTGCAGGCCATGCACAAACACGGGGCCAAGCATTTCACATGTCTCACGTGGCCCTAGGCCTGAGCTAAGCCATGTCCTCCTGCCCAGCACCTGGGCAACTGGCGTTTGACCCAAGCACAGGACTTCCTCCCTGACAGTCTGGTGGCGAGTGCCTGAGGCCCTGCCAATGCTGTGTCACAGGGTTTTCTGTCATAGTGTGGGTACCCAAATGCCATTTCCAGTGTGGTGGCACCTGTTCTGTGCTCATTACTGTGCCCAGAAATAATTCCTTCCCTGATGGAGAGATGAGGCTACGTTAGCAGAGCAGGTGCAGGGCCATGCTGGTATCTGGGACACCTCCCAGGAGGATGCTCCAGGCCGCCCTCTCCTGGAATTGCCTCTGTGGCCAGGCATAGGTGACATGCAGGTTCATCATGCTGGCTCCCTGTTCTCCTGGGCTCAGGCTGGGCTCCCCTGGGCTCCGCCATGCTGTGCAGGGTGCTGAAGGTTGAGGGAGGGGAGGGTCACTGTGAGCACTGCAGCGCAGTGTTGATGGACCAGTCAATACATTTCTCTCTGTCCCCACCCTCAGGCTTCAAAAGTTTCTCTCTGACCTCAGTGGAGCTGCAGATGCTGACCAACTCTTGTGTCAAACTTCAGACCGTCCACAACATTCCACTGACCATCAACAAGGAAGGTGCGCTGTCCTCCTGCAGGCGGGTGAGCGGGCGGCGGTGGTCAGTGGGCCCAGGGACAGCACTCTTTCTAGTGCTGTCAGAACTGTTTTTACACCCAGTGGGCATCTCAGAAGGAGTGTGGGTATGCGCTGCTGCCTGCTGTCCTCTCCAGGAGTGTAGGCGAGGGGCTGGGAGGGTTCTCCCTGGGCAGCGATTGCCAGGCGGTTAGGAGAGCTGCCGGACATGGGGTCAGACACGGGTTCTGGTGACTTCAGTTCCTAGTCACAAGGCCTGCGAGCCTCCTTGGACCCTCTGGCCTCTGCACCTGGCCCTACCTCACCTGTCCCCCAGCCTCCTCTCAGACAGGCACTTTCTGGCTCCACACCTTCGTGCAGACTGTGTGTTCAATGTTACCTACATGCACACACTCCCAGTACACACAAGTATTCACTTGTGCATTCACGCATACACACACATACTCCCAGTACACACACAGGTATATGCTTGTGCACACACACATACACCTAATCACACACGGCTATACACTTGTACACATGCACACACATACTCCCAGTCACACATAAATGTACACTTATTCATGCACACACACGTACTCCTAGTACACAAGCAGGTATACACTGTGTACATGCATGCACACACACCATCCATGTCCCACTGTCAGCCCTGGCCCCTCTCCTGTCCTCGAAGCCTCATTACACTTAATCTTGGTCATCCATTTGCTTGTGTTGTGCCTCTAGCTAGATCCTATGCGCACTAAGACAGAGACCGTGATGGGTCCATTTTGGTCCATGATCTTGCCTTGCCCGGGGCTGGGCAGGTGGTGGCCACTCAGGGCCCAGTGGTTGACTTGAAAGTAAAGCCAGTCCTGCCCACCCCAGTCCCCCAAATCCCAAGGAGCCAGACACTCACCTCTCTGGTCTCTTGCACAGATGATGAGTCTCCCGGGCTCTATGGGTTCTTGAATGTCATTGTCCACTCAGCCACCGGATTTAAGCAGAGTTCAAGTAAGTGACTGGTTTGGGAAGAAGGTGGTTGGGAGTGAATGGGTGTCCACCCAGGACAGGGCTAAACTGGACAGAGCCTGGGAACCAAGGAAGTTGCTCAAATTACCAGCAGAAGCCTTTGACCCTGACCACTGGTGCTGTTGACACCCACTGAGTGTGGAATTGTTTTCCTGGAGTGGACACTGTCCTTTCCAGCAGCTGACTCAGACCCTGCAAGCTGGCCAGCTGCCCCCTCCAGGCATGTGTCATAATCACAGGGCAGGCATTTGATAAACCAAACCAGTTGCTGACAAATGGACTCTGACTCATGGTGACCTCATGTGTGTTAGAGTAGAACTGTGCACCACAGGGTTTTTAGGGGCTGATTTTTCAGAGGTGGATCACCAAGCCTTTTTTCTGAGGCACATCTGGATGACTTAAACTGCCAGCCTTTCAGTTAGCAGTCAAGCCTGTTAACTGTTTGCACCAGTCTAGAGGCAAAACAAAACAAAAATCCTGACGAGTCACAGAATGGGCGTAAATATTTGAAAATCACATGTCTGATAAGGAACTCTATCCAGTATACCTAAAGAACTCTTACAACTCAATACTAAGGAGATAGCCTAGTAAAAAAAATTGGGCAAAAGATTTGGATAGACATTTCACCAGAGAAGAGATCTGAATAGCTAATGAACACATGAAAAGATGCGGGTTACTATTAGTCTTTGTTGTATGCCATAGAGTTGGTTCTGACTCATAGCGGCCCTATACGACAGAGTAGAACTGCTCCATAGTGTTTCTTAGGCTATAATCTTTACAGTAGCACATCACCAGGTCTTTTCTCCCATGGAATGGCTGGTATGTTCAAACTGCCAGCCTTTCAGTTGGCAGCCAAGCGCTTTACCACTGTGCCACCAGGGATCCTTCGTTACTGTTCAGGGAAATGCAGATTCAGACCACAACAAGATACCAATTCACACTCTCTAGGACGGTTACAATAAAAAAGATGAACAATATCAAGTGTTGTGAGGATGTGGAGTCATTTGAACCCATTGCCATCTAGATGTAAAATGGTTCAGCCACTTTGGATAATAGTTTCATAGTTTCTTAGTAAGTTCAACATAATCCTACCCTATGATCCAGTAATCCCACTCCTAGGAATTTACTCTAAAGAAACTAAAACGTGTGTCCACACAAAGACGTTAGACAAATATTCATAACATCTCTGCTCGCAGTAGCCAAAACTTGGAAACAACCCAGATGCCCACCGACTAGTTAGTAGATAAACAAAATGTGGTATGTCCACTTAATGCAATACTGCTCAGCACAGAAAGGGCTGAAGTACTGATACTGGCAACAACATAAATGAACCTCAAAAAAAAAAAAAGATGCTCAACAGAAGAAGCCAGATGCAAAAGACTACATATGTGATTCTGTGTATATAGAATTTCTAGAAAAAACAAAAGAGAGAGAGAAAGCACATTATGTTGGCTGGGGTGGGAGGAAGGACCAACGGCAGATGTTGTCAGTGTCTTCAGACTGGATGGTGCTCCCCAAGTGTGTGAGTGGACTGGGGTCCTGTCACTGCACACGTCCAGTGGTTGAGTTGGTGGCATACAGAGGTCACTGGGTGGTATAAACGGTTTGCGCTCGGCGACTAACCTAAAGGTTGGCCATTTGAACCCACCCAGCAGTACTGTGAAAGAAAGACCTGGCAGACTACTTCCATAAAGATCATAGTGAAGAAGACCCTATGGGGCAGTTCTCCTCTGTAACACATGGGGTCACCATGAGTTAGAATTGACTCAGTGGCAGTGGGTTAGGTTTTTGGTTTATGGTGTACAAGTAATACCCTAGTAAAGCTGTAGGACACTCACACTCAACTCTCTTGGCTGCCTGTAAATGTTGGTGTTTCCTAGGGTCCATCTGGGCCTCTTTTCTTCCCTGCCCACCCATCAAGAATGCAGGTGATGCTCAGAACTGCTCCTTGATTCCCGGCTTATCTCCTGGACCCTCTATTGCCTTTCCATCTGCCTCCCCAATGTTCCACACTCTAAACTCCATGTCCTCAAACCAAACCTATCGTTCCTAACCTCCACACTTGTTCCTCTTGCTGCTTGATGTCCTACCCCAGCGAGGGGTGCCACCTTCTACCACTTTGGCCAAGCCAGGAACCTCCTTCCTGTCCCTTGTCATTGGACACCACCCTCCACCACAGCACTGCTGCCATGTCCCCAGCACCAGCCACATCCTCAGCCCAGGCCCTTGGCATTTCTTACTGGCATTCATGCAGTGGCCTCCCTCTGGTCCTCACCGCCAGGCCTGCCCCCTCTGGTGGTGTTTCTAAAACTCCAGCTCTATCCTGTCTCTTACCCACTTACAGCCTGCCCCGGCTCCACACACTGATCCCTGGGCCTGGCCACCTCCTCTCCTCCTAGGCCCACACTCTCAGCCCTGAGCTGTTTTCAGGTGTCCCTGGGTGGTACAAATGGTTAAGTGCTTGAGTGCTAACTGAAAGATTGGTGATTTGAGTCCACCCAGAGGCACCTTGGAAGAAAAGCCTAGCAATCTGCTTCCAAAAAAGCAACCACTGAAAACCCTAAGAAGCACAGTTTTATGCTGACGCACATGGGGTTGCCATGAGTCGAAGTTGACTCAACGGCAGCTGGTTGGGTGAGCTGCTTTCGTTGCCCCAAGCGGGCCCTGCTCAGGTCCACGTCTCACTCCCCAAGGCGGGGCTGGCCTCGCTGTAGGGCTCTGTCACCGTGCTTGTCACTCTCCCTGCCCACCCAACCCAGCTGTGTAGGTGCTGTATGGGGCAGGCTGGGCCCTGCCAGCAAGTTTGTGTTTTATTTAAAAGAGAAAATTAAGGCTGTTGGTTTTTTTTTTCTGATGTTGGAAGTAGTCCTTACTTTGTCTAGCAAATGCAAGAATGTGGGGAGTCCAGTTACCCTCTCCGTTGGCCGTCCACAGATCTATACTGCACTCTGGAAGTGGACTCTTTCGGGTACTTCGTGAACAAAGCGAAGACCCGTGTCTACCGGGACACAGCTGAGCCGAACTGGAATGAGGTGAGGAGCTACCGGACCAGTCGGCCCAGTGGAGACGTTTCCGTGGAGAGAGTCTGGGTCTCTGGGCTCCATACCAGCTTCCCCTGTTCCAGGAATCTCCTCTGGGGGGTGGATATGACTCATCTAAGAGATGTTACCTCTGGGTTCCTGAGAACCCACTCCACCCCCACCCACAGGGCCTGTACTGTCAATAACCATCCTCCCCACAAAGAAGTGGCCTCCTTTTCTGGAGAAGTGTGTGGAGCAGGAACTTTGAAGGGTGTTTTCTCTGGCCTTTGTTGTGGCCTCGTGTTTATATGGTAGATTTCCCTGGAGTTTTTCCTTGCAAGTGGAGTGGACTCGCTATGACCCTCCCAGTTTCTGAAAGCCTTGCAGCTCTGGCCCGCAGCTGTGCCTGCAGGAGCTGGGTAGGGGCTGCAGGACCAGGCAGGGCAGCCTGCAGCGTCCTGTTTGCCTGCCTTGGGTGTTGTGTGTGTGGAGTGTGGTGCCCTCAGGGTTGCAGTGTGACCCACTGAGTCGTTCTGTTGGGAGCCCTCGAGAGTGGGGTAGTCATTGCAGAGTGACCAGTGTTAATTAAGTACCCAAAGCTGTGAACAGTGCCATTTCCCAGCTATGAGCTATGGAGCAGCTGTGGCTGTGAGGACACCCTTTCCTCTGATTACTAGACCTCGCCGCCTGAATGGGACTGTGAGCACTCAGAACCCCATAGACTTGTTGTAGTGGCAGTGGTTATTATCTGCCGTCGAGTCAGCTTTGACTCACGGTGACCTCTTGTACAACAGAACAAAACTTTGCCCAGTCCTATACTATGTTCACGATCATTGGACAAGTTCAAGTCCATCATTGTGGCCATTATGCCATTCCATCCCACCAGGAGTCTCCCTCACCGTCACTGACTCTCTACTTCACCAAACATGAGGTCCTCCTCCAGCGTTTGATCACTCCTAATGATGGGTCCAAAACAAACGAGTCAAGCAGTGTTCTGTTCTGATTCATGAGATTTTCACTGGCTGGTTTTCAGGACATCACAAGGCCTTTCTTCCTGATCTGTCTTAGTCTGGAAGCTCTGCTGCAACCTGTCCACCTGGGGTGACCCTGCTAGTATTTGAAATCCCAGTCATTGTAGACCTGCACTTCGCTGCAGAAAGGGTTCAGTGGACGCTGTGGCGAAAGGGTGGTCAGAGCGGAGAGCAGGAGGTCCCCAACCCTAGAGAGACAGCAAAGGAGGAGTCTGGGCACAACACAAAGTCTTCAGGTATAAGGACATGAAAAACAGTGGCGTGGAAGGGCAGATAGCACCAGGTGGCCTGTGGTTGGCCTTGCTGTGCACACAGATTATGCAGGGTATACCTACATATTCCTAGCACACTCTCCCACCCCATCCAGGTGTAGAAAGATCTGCGTTTTTAGCAAGCACCCCTGAGGTTCTGATGCAGGTGGTGTGGAGGTTACCCTTTGAGGTGCTGAGCTAAGGAGTTTGGATTCGGTTTGAGATGGATTCAGAGCTTCCAGAGGCATCTGGGCAGAGCCACCACATGGTCATGACAAGGCTCTGAGGGAAGCAGCACATGATGTTTTACATCAGAGAACTAGAGTGAAGAGGGCCTTCAGGCCCAGGTCCTCCTGGGGCAGCAGTGATGTCATCCATGAAGGTGCCACCTTCAACCTGTAGTGCTGCCTGTCATGCCTGACCTGTTTATTAACGCCAGGCTTTCCTTCCCTGTCCGGGCCGCAGGAGTTTGAGATCGAACTGGAAGGTTCCCAGACCTTAAGGATCCTGTGCTACGAGAAGTGTTACAATAAAACGAAGATCACCAAGGAGGACGGTGAGAACACGGACAGAATCATGGGGAAGGGCCAGGTCCAGGTGAGTCTGTTCCATCTGCCCCCACCCTTCACAGAGTTCGACCCTCCTGGGACACACTGTCACACCTTACACCCTCTTCTCTGCACCCCACCTCCGGACGCCCGTGGTCTTTCCCTATTTGACACTCAAGGATACTCTTGGGGGGAGTTGCACCAGGGCTTCCAAAGTAGGAGTAGATGTAGCCGTGGGAGACTTGAGTTGAGCCTGGGCTTCAGAAGGCCTCTCCTGCCTGTCTGTGTGACTGCATGTCTGTCGTGCCCCATCTTGTCCCCAGAGGAGTTTCAGTTAAGTTTGTCTTTCTGGCTGTGGTCTCAGTTTCCCCATGTCCTAGGAGAGGCCACAGGAGAAATGGTTTGGTGGTACCATGGGCTGAGAGCAGCGGTTATAGGGCCACCTCTTCTTGGAAACACACGAGGAACCTAGAGTCTGCCTACTTGCATCCCCAGGTTCCAGGAGTGCTGCTGCACCCTTGAACTGGGTGACACAGGTGCTCCCCAGAGTTGGTATAGAAGGCCCCCCAGTGGACCAAGAGTAGGTGTTTGTGCTTTGGGAGGAGTCCCCAGGCCTCAGGGACAACCTCAGGCCCCCTATCCTTGGGGAGCTTACCGACTCTGTGTGGCCCCTGGAATCCCACCAGATCCCTGAGTGGCACAAACAGTTTGCACTCGGCTGCTAACCTAACGGTTGGTGGTTCAAATCCATCAGGAGGCACCGTGGAGAAAGGCCTGACAATCTGCTTTCATAAAGATTATAGCCAAGAAAACCCTAGGGAGCACAGTTCTACTCTGTAACACATGGGGTTGCCATGAATTGGAATTGACTCTGTGACAGTGGGTTTAGGTTTTTTTTGGAATCTCACAACCAGCGTTCTGCATTTCTTGGCCAACAGGAGCTAGAGCTGCCTTATGTTTCTGTGGTCCTACCTGTAGGATCTGCAGCCCGGTCTCTTATCACATCCAGCCTAGGGGGGTTTCTCCCACATCCACCCTGGAGGTGGGTTCAGGTCTTGTGTACAACTCCCCACCTGGGAGGAGACCTCAGAGAAGGACCGGGTTGGCCATTCCAGGTGCCTGTGGGAGGACAGGGCTTGCCAAGAAGCCCCACCTCCCTTCCCTAAGGGCAGGAAGCAAGGTTCCTTCTGTGCTGCAGTTGAGGCAGCAGGAATGATGAACAGAGGAGGGCTCTGTCCTGAGTAAGGGTCATCTCTGCTGGTGAGGCTCTGCGGTCTCACTGCTCAGGCTCAGGCTCAGGCTCTTACCAAGTACTGGCTGCAAATTCCGCTCTGGGCAGGTTCTCGGGCTGGTTCCTGTCGCCTGTTTTTCCACCTCGGAAACTTAGTAGGAAACTGAATGGCTCAGGGCCTCCTGGATACCCTGTACCTTGAGACCAGGTTTAAAAGCAAAAATGCTCCTCTAGTCAGCCTTTAAGGGCACCTGGGTGGCGCAAATAGTTTGTGCTCAACTGTTAACCTAAAGGTTGGCAGTTCAAAGCAACCCAGTGGCACCACAGAAGAAAAGCTTGATGATCTGCTTCCATAAAGATTACAGCCATGAAAACCCTATGGAGAAATTCTACTCTGTAATATATGGGGTCACCATGAATCGAAAGTGAACAATGGCAGCGTTTTGGTTTTGGGTATCCTGTCCATGCCTTCTGCCACCCACCCCAGGCCTCACAGAGAGAGAGGGCGCTCCCTGCCATAGAGACACAGGAGAGGAAGCTGATAGGGGAGAGTCCCAGACCCTCTCCTTCAGAATGAACTCCAAGTCTTGGAGCTCTGGGCAGCCAGGGCCAACCCTCCAAGCAAGACCTACTGTGGCTGGGCTCTCCTGCATGCAGGGAGCCCCAGGTGGGGATGGAGGCTAGGAGGGCCACCACTCCACCCAGTAAGCTGAGGCTTGGGCATGCGTTTCAGATGCTGTGTGGCAGCCCTGCTGCCCACCACAGGTAAGGCAGGATGAGTGCCCACCTCTTGGGTGGGGAGTCATCCTCGGAGGCCAGCTCCTTGTCCAAGGCTGCTCAGCGATGTCCTGGACATAAGTGCCTGCCTGCAGCTTAGATCTCAAGCAGAGCGCTTGATCTGGTGAGAAGGGTGTCAAGCTGTTGACCCTTCTCGCCGCACCAAATGTCAAGCCAAGGTCTGAGGTCCAGAGTTGCTGACAAGAGCATGAGTCACACACAGGCGGTGAAAAGACACTTTACTCACAGAGAAGAGACAGGGCAAGGGAGGCTTCACTAGTGGGTACCAGTCCCCACGGTGTCAGCAAGTTGTTGCCTGCAGCCAGTGCAGGGCTGTTGTTCTGCACACACCTCTCTTGTGCCACAGGTGAGGGACTCTGTTCCTTCCCACAGGGAACAGGTGTAGAAGTGGGGTTGGCCAGGTGCCACATGCCAGGCATGCATAAGCAGACAGAGGAAGTTACTGTGTACCCAGCACAGGGAGGGAGGCTCCCTAATAATGAGAAGAAACTGGGAGAGAGAGAAAGGGGCTCAGTTCCCAGCCTGCATTATCAGGACCAAGGCTTCTGATTGGGCAGTCCAGGTGGGATCAGAAGGCTTTCCTATTTTTCCAACAAAGGGGAATGGTTCGGCCTTGCTCTCCACCAGCCCATCACATCACCTGGCCAGTTGTAGGATCTTTGTAGAGCAGGAATCCGGGTTGAAGAAGCAGAAGTGCAAACAGGAGTTTGTCAAGGAGTCCCACACTCATGATCCTGAGCAGGGATCTGTCAAACCAACCAGATGTATTCTGTCCACCAGGTTGCTGGGTTAAGTGTAGTGTGGGTCCATGTTCACACACTCGTGTGTGCCCAGGCAGAGGTGGGCACTTTTGTATGGGGTGTTGACGTGCATGCTGTACTCACTGCCCCACAGCCTCTGCTGGCTGGCGCCGTCAGAAATGTCCTCAAGATCCACCCACGCGTACATGTGACTTGGTTCCCCTTCTGGCCTTATGTAGACTCCTGTAATGGGAATCAACCCCATGGTTGGCCGCTGCACTCTAACAGATTCTGAGGCTGGCTCCAGATTTCTCCCTGGCTCCAGATTTCTGCTATTCAGTGGTCATCTGGTCCTTGTCTCTTTTGAGAACTGCCATGTTATACAGCACCTGCCGGGTAGCAGTCGTAGTTCAGGTGCTTTGATTTTCAAGGCATCTGGTGCCACCACCACACTGGACACATAAGCAGACACTTACGGAACCTTCTCAAGGCCCCCTTGTGACCTGGGAAGCTGTCTTAGTTTCCTAGTGCTTCTGTAATAGAAATACCACAAGTGAGTGGCTTTAAAGAACAGTGGTTTATGAAACAGGACCCATACCTCACAGCATACACAAAACTAATTGAAAATGGATCAAAGACCTAAATATAAAACCCAAAACTATAAAGATCATGGAAGAAAAAATAGAGTCAACGCTAGAGGCCCTAATAGACGGCATAAATAGGATGCAAACCATAATTAACAATACACAAACACCAGAAGATAAGCTAGATAACTGAGATCTTCTAAAAATTAAACACTTAAAATGCTCATCAAAAGACTTCACCAAGAGTAAAAAGAGAATCTACAGACTGGGAAAAATTTTTTGACTATCACATATCTGACAAAGGTCTAATCTCTTAAATTTATAGAGAAATCCCACACCTCTACGAAAAAAAGACAAATAATCCAATTAAAAAATGGGCAAAGGATATGAACAGATGCTTTATCAAAGAAGACATTCAGCTAGCTAACAGACACATGCGGAAATGCTCACAATCACTAGCCATTAGAGAAATGCAAATCGAAACTATAATTATATACCATCTCATTCCGACATTACTGGCATGAATCAAAAAAAACAGAATAACAAATGTTGGAGAGGCTTCAGGGAGCTTGGAACTCTTATGCACTGCTGATGGGAATACAAAGTGGTACAACCTTAAAAAGCTGGAAATAGAAATACCATACGATCCAGCAGTCCCACTCCTAGGAATATATCCTAGAGAAATAAAAGCCATCACACGAATAGACATGTGCACACCCATGTTCATTGCAGCATTGTTCACAATAGCAAAAAGATGGAAACAACCTAAGTGTCCATCAACAGATGAATGGATAAACAAATTATGGTACATACACACAACAGAATACTATGCAATGGTAAAGAGCAATGATGAGTCTGCGAACATCTCACAACATGGGTGAATCTGGAGGGCATTATGCTAAGTGAAATAAGTCAATCACAAAAGCACAAATGTTGTATGAAACCAGTATTATAAAAACTCATGAAAAGGTTTACGTACAGAAACAATCTCTGATGGTTACAAGGGAGGGGAGAGGTAAGCAGGGAAAAACACTAAAAACAATACTGGGGAAGCCAGCACAGCTTGACCAAGGCAAGGTCATGGAAGCTCCGTAGACATACCCAAACTCCCTGAGGGACTGAATTACTGGGCTGAGGGCTAGGGACCATGGTCTTGGGGGACATCTAGCTCAATTGGCATAGCATAGTTTTTAAAGAAAATGTTTTACATCTTACTTTGATGAGTAGTGTCTGGGGTCTTAAAAGCTTGTTGAGTGGCCATCTAAGTGACTCTACTGCTCCCACCCCGTCTGGAGCAACGGAGAATGAAGAAAACCAAAGACATAAGGGAAAGATTAGTCTGGAGGACTAATGGACCACAACTACCACAGCGTCCACCAGACTGAGTCCAGCACAACTAGATGGTGCCTGGCTACCACCATTGACTACTCTGACAAGGCTCACAGGTCCCCGATAGAGCTGGAGAAAAATGTAAAACAAAATTCAAACTCACAAAAAAAAAAAATACCAAACTTATTGGTCTGTCAGAAACTGGAGAAACCCCGAGAATATGGCCCCCGACACCCTTTTAACTCAGTACTAAAGTCACTCCTGAAGTTCACCCTTCAGCCAAAGATTTTTGTTAGGTGCCACTGAGTCGGTTCCGACTCATAGTGACCCTATAGGATAGAGTAGAACTGCCCTACAGTGTTTCCAA